TCAACAAATTTCTTTGTCTTCACCATCATATTTTTCTGCTATATTAAGAAAGTAAATTACCTTTTCTTTTAATTAATGTGAGCTCCTATAGTTTATCACTATGGCATGGTTCTCTTTTTATAACACTACAATGCCGGCCAATAGCCCAATTCAATATGTCAGGCCATTATTGTTACAGCTGTTAAAAGTTAACCCGATCCGAAATACCGACTCAAATCCGATTATTAACCGATCCATCTGAACCCGAAAAATTGGTGACCCAAATCTGACCTGACCTGACCCGACCTGAAACCAACCCTAGACCCGAGTTGATCCGAGTATTTGAGACCCGAATCCAAACATGAACTGAGCTAAAGATGACCCGACCCGAATGTAACCCGCAAATTATTAACCTGAACCGAACACGACTTGCACCGAAATTGACCCAAACCCGTTTTAACGCGTCAAAACCCGAATTTAACCAAACTTGTTACTAACTTGACCTGAATTCAACCCGATCGTTCCTAACCCAACCCGAATTCAAATCAACCTGTTACAAACCCGACCCGAAATCAACCCGACTTGTTATTGATCTGACCCAAATTCAACCCGACTTATTATTGACCCGACCAAATTTTACCAAACCTATTACGTACTAACCCGACCCACAAATTCAACCCAATTTGTTACTAACCCGACTCAAAATCAACACGACTTGTTATTGACCTGACCTAAATTCAACCCAAATTGTTCCTGACCCGAATTCAAATCACCTTAAATGCAATTTAGACCACCTTATTATTGTTGATCAAAGAATTTTGTCTAGGGAGACCAAGTCAGTCCAGGCCAGCAAAATAAAGGAGCATCATCCTCAAATTTCAGAGTTAAATATAGTATATATTTGTTGTATGGTCAAAAGATATAATCATCTTCCTAAATTATAAACAATAGTTTCCTAGTATATTTCCGTATATATTATAGTCAAAGGAAATAATTAGCTTGATAAAAATGATAATTATCTATTTATAGTTACTTGAACCCGAATATGACCAGACTTGAAAATGACTCAACCTGATTGTAACCTGCAAATTATTGACTTGAACATAACCCGACTTGACTCCGAGAATGACCCGACTTGGAAATGATCCAACCTGATTATAACCCGCAAATTATTGACTTGAACCGAACCCGACTTGAACCCGAGAATGACCCGACTTGAAAATGACCCGACCGACCTGATTATAACCTGCAAATTATTGACTTGAACCAAACCCGACTCAAACCCGAGAATGACCCTAACCCGTTTTAACCCGTGAAAACCCGAACTATTGTTCAGCCGTCCCGAATGTAACCCGACCCAAACCCAATAAGAAGTATGACCCGACGTGTCCCGACTGAAGCAAGACCCAACCCGTATAGATTATGGAATTAATCCGAATTGACCCGACCCGAGTTTACCTGGCCCACTCTTACCGACCCAAAACCTACCCGTTTACCCGAATTGACAGCTCTACCCGAAACCTCCAAAAATTCTCAAAAAGTGTGGATATTAGCCTTCAATTTTGGAATTTTTTGACTTTTTTCGCTCGAAAATAAAAATTGCCGAAATATTTACCATGGTCCCTAATGCCCTTCGGGATTCCAATTTGGTTTGTTGAACCATCCAATTTGCCTTTAAACGGTCAATTTACCGGTTTACAACTTCCACTGATTTCATCAACTCAAGCCTACCACTAAAATCTATGAAAACATATAAAGATCATATATGGTTCCAAACGGAATTATATGACCCCCCCAGATGTATTACCTAAATTATAAAGACTTTGCGACATCGGGCCCCGAAGCCTCCAAAATTTCTCAAAAAGCGTGGACATTAGCCTTAAATTTTGGAAATTTTTGACTTTTTTCGCCTGAAAATAAAAATTTCCAAAACATTTAACATGGTCCCTAATACCCTCAAGTAGTCCAATTGGGTGGGTGGAATCATCCAATTTGCCTTTAAACATCCAATTTACCGGCTTACAACTTGCACCGATTTCATTAATTAAATCCTACCACAAACATTTATGACAACAAAAAATGATCATATATGGTTCCAAACGACATTATATGACCCCGAGATATATTGCCTAGAATCTCAAGGCTTTTCGATACCGGGCCTCGAAACCTCCAAAATTTCTTAAAAAGCGTGGGTATTAGCCTTTAATTTTGGAATTTTTAGACTTTTTTCGCCAGAAAATAATAATTGTCGCCCTTCAGGAGTCCAATTAGGTGGGTGGAACCATCCAATTTGCCTTTAAACGGCCTATTTACCGGTTTAATTATTACTTGCACCGATTTCATTAACTCAAGCCTACCTCAAACATTTAAAACAACAAATAAGGATCATATATGGTTCCAAACAGCATTAAATGACCCCAATATATATCGCCTAGAATTTCAAGACTTTTCGACACCGGACCCGAATTCTCCAAAACTTCTCAAAAAGCGTGGATATTAGCTTTCAATTTTGAAATTTTTGACTTTTTTTTGTCCGAAAATAAAATTTTCCAAAATGTTTACCATGGTCCCTAATACCGTCCGGGGGTCCCGTTGGGTGGGTGCAGTGGAACCATCCGATTTGTCTTTAAACGACCAATTTATCGATTTATAACTTACACCGATTTCATTAAATCAAGCCTACCACGAACATTTATGACAACAAATAATGATCCTATATGGTTCCAAACACCATTATAAAACCCCGAGATGTATCCCCTAAAATTTCAAGACTTTTCGACACCGGGCCAAGAAACCTCCAAAATTTCTCAAAAAGCGTGGATATTAGTCTTCAATTTTGGAATATTTTGACTTTTTTTCGCCAGAAATAAAAATTTCCGAAATGTTTACCATGGTCCCTAATACCCTCTGGAAATCCAATTGGATTGGTGGAACCATTTAATTTGCCTTTAAACAGCCAATTTAAAAAACCGGTTTACAACTTATTCGGATTTCATTAACTCGAGCCTACTACGAACATTTATGACAACATATAATGATCATATATGATTCCATACGGCATTATATGACCCCGAGATGTATCCCCTAAAGTATTAGTAATACTTTTCTACACCGGGCCCCGAAACCCCAAAAATTTCTCAAAAAGCGTGAATATATTAGACTTCAAATCTTCAATTGTGAAATTTTTTGTTTTTTTTCGACCGGTAATAAAAATTGCCGAAATGTTTACTATGGTCCCTAATACCCTCCGGGAGTCCGATTGGTGGGTGGAACCATCCAATTTTCCTTTAAACGACCAATTTACCGGTTTACAACTTGCACCGATTTTATTAATTCAAGTCTACCACGAACATTTATGACAACAAATAATGATCATATATGGTTCAAAATGACATTATATTACCCCAAGATGTATCCCATAGAATTTCAAGACTTTTCGACACCGGGCCCCGAAACCTCCAAAATTTCTCAAAAAGCGTGGATATTAGCCTTCAATTTTGGAATTTTTTGACTTTTTTCGCCTGAAAATAAACATTGCCAAAATGTTTACCATGGTCCCTAATATTTTTCGGGAGTCTAATTGGGTGTGTGGAACCTTCAATTTGCTTTTAAACAGCCAATTTATCGGTTTACAACTTGCACCGATTTACCGGTTTACAACGGCCAATTTAAATAACTTGCACCGAACTTGACTTGTACCGAAATTGACCCAAACCCGTTTTAACCCGTCAAAACCCGAATTTAACCCGACTTGTCACTAACCTGACCCGAATTCAACCCGACCCGAATTAAACTCAACATGTAACAAATCCGACCCGAAATCAACCAGACTTTTTATTGACTCGACCCGAATTTTACCATACCTAATACTTACCTAACCCAAATATTCAACCCGATCTGTTACTAACCTGACTCGAAATTAACACAACTTGTTATTGACCCGACCTAAATTCAACCGAAATTGTTCCTGACCCGATTTGAAATAGACCACCTTATTATTGTTGATCAAAACATTTTTTCTAGGAGATTAAGTCGGTCCACGCCAGCAAAAGAAAGGAGCATCATCCTCAAATTTAAGAGTTAAATATAGTATATATTTGTTGTATGGACAAAGGAGATAATTATCTTCCTAAATTATAGGCCATAGTTCCCTAGTATATTCCCATATATATTATAGTCATCAAAGGAAATAATTAGCTTGATAAAAATGATAATTATCTATTTTTAGTTAGTTGAACCCGAAAATGACCTGACTTGGAAATGACCTGACCTGATTGTAACTTGCAAATTATTAACTTGAACATAACCCGACTTGAATCCGAGAATGACCCAACATGGAAATGACCCAACCTGATTATAACCCGCAAATTATTGACTTGAACCGAACCTGACTTGAACCCGAGAATGATCCGACTTGAAAATGACCCACCTGATTATAATCCGCAAATTATTGACTTGAACCAAACCCGACTCAAACCCCAGAATGACCCGACGTGATTCTAACCCGCAAATTATTGACTTGAATCGAACCCGACTCGAACCCGAGAATTACCCTAACCCGTTTTAACCCGAATTGAACCCGACCTATTGTTCACCCGACCCGAATGTAACCCAACCTGTTATTAACCCTACCTAAACCCGATCCAAACCCGATAAGAATTATGACCCGACATGAGCCGACTCAAGCATGACCCTACCCAAACCCGACCTGTACAGATTATGGAATTAACCCGACCCACCCGACCCGTTTACCCGAATTAATAGCTCTAATTATTGTGACATAGTGGCCTACCACACATTCTTAATGATGCACCTAATTTAACCAAGGTCAATGCTTCCATTTGCATTACACGTATATATATATATTTTTCCCTTATATATAAATATATAAAGGTAATAGTAAAAAAAATAATTAAAAAAAAAAAGTAACATTAGGATGTGCAACAACATGTAGACCACGTCCCTTTTTATTAATGCAACAACCACGTCAATTTATTCAAAAGCACCAGCAATAAAAGTCATCAACCTCGTTCCCTTCTTGTTAAGGATAGAGTAACATTAGTTAGAACAGTGTTCTCTTCGGCCAATAAGTCAAGAACAATTTCGTTATATCTTCGAAAAACCTCATCAATGATTGCTTCCCCAAAATGACTACTGATTAAGGATCCAACCACGGCTCTCATACATAATGCTTGTAAATTCATATTATCTTCGCGATTAGTTTTGTCAATTGAGCTACCAATCTTATGATCATCATTTGGATCCCAACTAATCACATTGAAGGTATAAACTTCATTGAGGGCAAAAGATCCTTCCTTAGCCACCAGATACTCGAGTTCTGAAGGTGATGGTGTATAAATGGGGACGTTGAATGTGTTCAATTTCTCTTCTTCTATGTAACGTAACCCTGCACAATATGTTTTAGAGCTATGGGTAACACATTTATACTCATGCATGTACATAAATTAAAATTGATTGCATGATATCCCTCTGTCCTTAAATATAGTTCCCGTATTATTATTTTTTTTGGACGTCTTTAAAATTACTATTTATATTAAACTCTTATTTAATTATTGTTAATTATTGACTTAATTCTACCAAAAAAGGAAAACTTGCTAAAAATAATACAACCTTTGGCCCATTCTTTTTTAATAACACAACCTTTGGATTATTTTGTAATAATACAACCTTTATGGGGTGTTCATTTTAAACAAGATAAAATCAATTTTTCGGCGGACTTTGAGGCTAAGAAAGGGGACGGATGAGTTTTTGGTGGTGGGGATGAGGAAGGATGGAATATCCCTTCCCCTTCTCCCACCTCAACCTCACCGAAAATTCGATTTTATCTTGTTTAAAATGAACACCCCCTTAAGGTTGTATTATTACAAAATAATCAAAAGGTTGTATTATTAAAAAAGAATGAGACAAAGGTTGTATTATTTTTAGCAATTTTTCCACCAAAAAAAAAGAAAAAAGAAAAGGGAATGGTTTATATACCTCAGAAACCATATCATTGAGAACCTTAGCTAGATTCTCTAACATGTAAGCAGATTCCTTGGCATAACATGGTTCGTTGTTTTGTCTTCCTAATAAGGTTAGCACCATTTTTCCTCCGGCTACGACTTCCTTGGAACGACAACTTAGGAACATCAAAAAGTCCTTTGTAAATTGTTCATTGTAACTACTAATCACTTTTGTAGGGCTTGTTTTTGACATGTAAATGTTTCTCTTATTCTCTTCTATTCCTTCCGGCACCTGAAATTATCAAACTTTCACGTCGTAAGTACAAGTGTATCAATCAAATCACACAAATCGAGTACTTCTTTTGTCTCTTGAAGATCACCCAACTTGTGTGACATTTATTTATAAATTCAATAATGTTGGGTGCGTCCAATAACATATAATTATAAATTTTTCCATTTCATAGATTATATAAATCAATTTTGGACTTCAACCAAAAGGTCAGATCATCACGAGTTCCTCATCCACCCTCCTTTCAAGTATACAATAAAAATTTTAATCGTACCAAGCTCTTATGTATGCGAAGGTACGTGATAGAATATATGAGAACAATTGATCCTGTTGCTTTTTAAAATGCCAACCTCAAAAAAAATGTGATAATTAAAATATTTTTAAAAAAAGGATAATTCACCTGAGATAGCCAGTGAAGGCTAGTGGAGGAGTGCACAAAATGCAAGCTATTGTTAGGAAAAAGCCTACCATAGAAAGAGCCAGGAACACCATTAACAAAGCAATGTCCATAATCATCTCCCAATTGCTGCTTAAGCCTATCCTTAAAACTTGTTACCGACGTAAACACAGTATTGAAATCATTCCCTGGAAGATCATTCAAGCAAATATGGTACTCTTGAGGGCCGCCATGTCCGAGTTCTCGCCGAGCCTTATCAATGGCTTCTATGAGCCCATAAGCTAAGCCGCTCAAGCAGTTTTGCTCGGAAGAAGAACATCCCAAGTCGGCTATGCATAAAGTTATAGGATGTTCCATGCAATAGAATTCCCTTATGACATTTTCTTAAGGATTTTGACATTGATAGTATCTCCCTCTAAAAGGAAAAAAAAAACTAATTAGTGATACTTGGTTAAATAAAATGTACTCATATTGTCATATGAACAATATGTCAATATGATATGGTAAATTGGTAATGGTTTAATTGTGCGAGTATAACTGTGGCTATAATGCCACTTTCTTATCTATAGTGATACAATCTACGTATATGCAAAATTTAAGTCAACGTGAGAGCAAGGTCATAGGATTCAAATATCATTCACCCATCCTTCAAAAAAAAAAAAAAAAAAAAAAAAAAAAAAAAAATTACTGTTGGATATGGAATGAGAAGAGTCAAAGACCCATAACCAAAAAAAAATACTGCAACTACACTTCAAGTTCAAGGATTCCGATGTGAGGGGTCGTGATAAAACATATAAATTTGAGATTCAACCATCAGTTTAGATTTTAGGTCGAATTGATCCTAGCTTTTACACATAGCATCATAACTTTACTCACCTAGTGATTGATGTAATAATGTTTTTAATTCATAAAAAATCAAATTCAATGACAACCATACTAGCCAAAAAAAAAAAAAAAATCTTAGCATTGTTCCAAACTGTAACAAGATAATAAAGAATGAATGAGGGAATAAAATTACCGCCGTAAACGCGGTGTTAGAATAACTGTTTTCATCAGTCCCTTCCTTCATGTGAAGCACCTCCATTATCTTAGTTTCCCTCACCATCCTCTCGCCCTAGCTAGCTAGCTTAGATCTTTGTAATGTACTTGTATGTTTATAAGATTCTTGAGGGTTTATAGTTGCCTTGTGGTATGCTTTACCTATTCGTCTATTTATATTAATGTCTCTTAACCTTTTTTTTCTAACCCATCAATAATAAAGATAATCGATTTTAATCTTTGTCAAATTAAACCAACTTGAAAGTTAACTTAATCAAAGTGCACACTTACGAATTCAAAGGTTTCCCCAATGATCCAATTCATCAATTTTGGCCATATATGGAGTACGTAGTATATAATAATAATTATAATTATGTGACACATATATACCTAATACGGTTTATCATATATTATTAAACTTAATTATTATTTTTTTGGTGTTCCTCCCGGTTCACCCTTTTTGGGCTAATCCTGATTCGGGGATCAATTCTGGGTGATTAGGTTCCAGTTTCCTCTCAATTGTTTTTGCGAGAGATCAAGCATGAAATCTCCCTACTAAGTGTAATTCAAATCACCACTACACCAACAACCAATTGGTTCATTATTAAACTTAATAAGATTGATTAAATGTACTCAATCCGAATAACAACGTACAATATAGGCCTATGTAATATAAGAGGTGTCAAGGATATCATTTACCTAGAACCGAAAAACATGTCTATTGACTAGTAGTTTAGTTCTACAATGCTACATAATTAGTCTCCCTTCTCACACTCTTAAGTGATTAATTCATCATAATCAAATACACATAAGAGTCATGTACGGCGGCCACTTAACTGTTGAAACTTCAGCAATAATAATTGTCAAAATATATGACCATGTGCTTTATTTTTCATTAGATAACAAATACATGAAGTGAACATAATTTTATGGAGTAAAAAGCTAACAAAAGGGACGAAAGAAGTATAATTTATCCTAGTGTGAAAAGTGAGATCGATAATAATTTGTGAGATCGACAAGAAAAATTTTGCGGTATAAATTTGTCAGAATTACAATTACAATATAATGTAGGGCACGATTAAAGAGCTCGATATAAAACTTGGATCCATATTATGGTTAGTATCACAAAAATTATCAATATTTTTGCAAAGGGGTGATAATTTCTGCAACATTTTTCTCTTAATATGAATTCTTAACTTGAACAAGACCAAAATCCTTCAAAAAAAAAAAAAAAAAAAAAAAAAAAAAAAAAAAAAAAAAAACTTGAACAAGATCAAAAAGCTTAAAACCCTAGGCAACTATTCTTAGTGCCAGTTGCAATGTTAAACCCACGCATTAAATAAATATTATCAAGACACATGTATAAGAGCTATAGCATATGTTATTTCCTCCGTTTTTGTAAGATGCATCACTTTTGTAGTTGTGGACTCTTAGGAAATGTTTAGAGAAGAGAGAGAGAGAAATAAAGAGGGTTCATGTGATAAGAGAGGGATAGAGACAATTTATTAACTAAAGGGGAAAGTGATAGATGCAACTAAATTAAAACTTACATATATATATAGAAAATTAAAAACTTTTGAGCATAAATAAGCACAATTTCACCTAATGTAATTCTGCGTGATTATTTTAAAAGGATTTGATATACAATTTTTATCAACAACATGAATTTTATTGTAAAACTTTCTTGTAAATGGTTATTATTCAGAAATGTAACTAGTCTTACTCTGTACTACAAGTGTTCATAAAATTTTTTATTACCTAGTAGTATGAAGAAATAGATAAACTATTTTTTTATGCTTGAAAGACATTGATTTCTTTCTCGACCCCTTTTATTTACTCGTTTCGATCTTTTTTCTGGACATTTTGTGAGAAACTACTTTCTAAAGCATTTTTTTTTTTTGCGAGAAACTACCTTATAAAAAAAATGTTGTAATAAACTACCTTATAAAAGCTAAATGTTGTAAGATACTACCCTTGGTCGGAAAGTGAGAGTTTGACTAAATTATTCCGGCGTTGACCAAGTCATGTTCCGGTCACATGACATTTAATTCATCTTTCCCCATTTTTCCCCTAATTTTTCCCGATCCTATCCATATAATATCCAAGATGAATTTAGTCAAACTCTCACTTTCCGACCAAGGGTAGTATCTTACAACATTTAGCTTATATAAGGTAGTTTACTACAACATTTTTTTTATAAGGTAGTTTCTCGCAAAAAAATTGCTTTAAAAAATTGCTCCAATTTACATTTTTTTTATAATGTACATTTCCATTTGTCTCACAACCCTTGATTTATACTTCCTCGTTGATATGCCACGTATTCCCTTTTTTGTTGTGCCATGTCATCTTTTCAATATCTTATGATGCCACATCATCACTCAAACAACAACACATCACCCAAGCAACCAACATTATCGAACCCTCCACCTCGTATACCAACTATAACCATTTCACAATCTTAGTCAATTACCAAGTGTGTTATTAATATGTAAAAAAATTATATAAGTGCAAAGCACAAGATTCAATTAAAATAAAATATACTAAAAAAAACTCAATTTTGGTTAGTTTGACCATGACAACTAACTACAATTATAAAAAGACTTTAAAAAAATTATTGATTGCACGTCAACCCGGGGCAACGCCTGGGCTACAGTGTTACCAAAGATAATTTCCCATTTAAATTTTAAAGTATATATTTGGTCAATTACTGCCTTTTAAAAAAAAATGCAAATTGGAGCCTAAAAGTACTACTAACTTATTGATTATCATCCAATCTTATTTTCCATCCACACTAATCCAAACTAATGTTAATCGTTATCTCATATAATCATATATAAATTAAATTCATCTTTAACTTAATTTTTTTAAAAAAGGTAAATTTTACTACTACAACGTTATTTTTTTTTGAATGATATGTTAATTAACCGTAGCTTATTTTGGCTATATATATTTGAATTAATTAGACAATGATCTCATACGATGTTGTGTATTAAAAATGTACCTGCGTGACTATTTGCACATATTTTAAGCTCAACAAATCCAATCAACATCAAATTCATCAGACTATTCACATTACAAATTATCTATCATAGATAAATCAATTTTGGCTGCATTACAATATTGGAGGAAAATATAGTTACCACTACACAAGTACTAAACATTACCATTAACAAAAGCAAATCAACCTTTAGTCAACAAAAAAAAAAACCAACTATAGCAATTAGGCATATACTTGGTTTGGTATGAATCTATACACGAGTGGCAAAACAACTACCTTACCTTAGTCATACGTTGCTAACTTCATTACGGAAGATATACTACCAATGCCGCGACCGACGAGTGACATTATATTCCCTCACAAGTCACAACCTAGTATAAAGTTCTTTGTACTTGAACTGTTATATGATTACATGTTATCTATTCCCCAACTGGCCAACTATACCCAAATTTCTTTAAACTGTTATATACAAAACTGTTATCTACGATTGAACTATATATGGTAATTTATCATATGCAACAAAATCAAAAGACAATTATATGCCTTAACAATATATGGTAATTTATCAAGTGTAACAAAATCAAAAGACAGTCATATAGATTGAGTGATCAAAGTACGATCACCAGTGATTGTGATAGAAGTAACACTCCCACAATGGTGCTCATCGACAAAACAGTAGCTATCAAATTCAAACAAATATAATTAAATAATTGGATGGGTTAAAGGTTAATTAGAAGAAATGGGTTTTTAAAATGTTTTTTTTGACAAATTGTCCTAAAAATTACCTCCTATCAATACAGAACTGCAACCAAAGTCTTGTATATATGTCAAATTGAACATCGTAACCGGATAAGACGAATCAACAAAATGCATGGCAAGGCGGCCAAATTCTCTTGTTTTGTGTAAAACAACACAACTCTCTGACTCAACCAAGGATCAAGGAAAAGTGATTCGTCTTAGATTTCTGCAGAATACTCTTCGAAACAAGTAATATTTGTTTTTTTAAAATAAAAAATTAAAATAAATATATAAAAATTATTCATAAATTAACAAATTACGTAAAAATTAAAACAAATTATATATATATATATATATATATATAGCAACACACAATACACACAATTAACTTCCAATATTAGGAAATTCAAAACAAATTAAGGGGGCGTTTGGTTCACAGAGTGGTATGGGGTTGGAATTAGGAATGGGGTTAAGGTGGTATCGGGTTGGAACTTGATACTTAATACCATGTGTTTGGTTTAATTCTGGAATGGAATATCTCACTATTTTCTCCTTTTATTTGATACCTAAGAGAATGGAATGAGCCAAACCCACATCCCCCAAGGTTTCTAAACCCCATACCTCATGGGTTTGAGGTATGGGTTTGAAATTCATATTTTTGACAACCAAACATATGGTATGGGTTTTAGTCATTCTAAACCCATACCTCATACCTATATTTCGTGAACCAAACGCCCCTTAAGAAATTAGGGTTTTAAATCAGGAATTAGGAATAGAAATAACCTGAATCACCAGATTGGCTCTTAATTGAATCATGTCCCTTCGAAAGTAGAGAACTGATCCCGCACTCAATTCATTCTTCTTCACGTATTTTCACCACTCGTTTTGAATGGCATCGCATCCC